TCATCCTAAAATAAATATATAAATAAAAGCAAAAGTTGAATGTATCAGTGATGCTTCCTGTATCAGGAGCTATAATAAATAGGTGTACTTCAAGGCTAGTAAATGAAAACAGGTATATGTTATTCAGAAATTGTTAGGCATTCATCTGCCTCATTCTGACTGAGAATTGTAAGCTCTCTCCCCCCTCCCACCACTTCCCACCCATGCTGGCTAGGCAGTAATTCTTCCTTTTAGTTTCTTTTTATCAAAGATATGAATAATGTATGCTTCGTATAAGGAAAAGTGGGAGTCAAGAGGAGTCATAAGCAAGGACTTGGAAGTAGTCAAAAAGAAAAGAAATGCACTAGCCAGTGACAACATAGGGCTTAATAGTATAGACTGGGAAAATGTAACATAAGTTAACCATGCTTCCACTGCCAGCAAGACTTATATGTTTCCATGACAGCGTTTCAGTTCCATCCATAGCCTTTCTATAACATACATAATACACCCGACAGATGGAGCTTAACTCCTCCAATCAGGTTTGCTATAGGTCAATATGTTTTCAGCTAACATTGTATTGTTACTATTAATGTACACAGTGTTATGGCTGAGTAACAATAAGGACTAAGCTTACAATCATAGAAGTTAGAAAAAATTAGACTATAGAATGAAACTCCCACCCCCACAGCCTGTTACACCTAGGTATGGCTGATATCCAAATCAACTGAGTAACATTGAAGACTGATCTTTATTTGCTTCAATACATGGATTCAACTGGATGAGTTTAATAGAAAAAGCAGGAAACCTGCCACTTTTTTCATTTGGGCTTCTTTGAACTATCTTCTTTTAAAAAAAAAAAGGGTTGTGCTTTGCTATGATGAATGGTCAGTATTTCTGATATGTGGTTTTTATTGTTCTTATTTGGAAATGTATTTTTTTTAAAAAACAGGTCATATTCTAATGGATAAAAACTGAGGCTTGCAATTTATAACAGTATTTTGTCTTTAATTGTATGTATTTAAAAATGACCCTTCCCTGATTCTGGTGAGAGAGAGAAAAAGGAGGGGAGAGAAAATTTCAGTTTCCTTTAGCACTTCAGAAGTCCTTCCATTCAACATGCTAGACAATCAGTGTGTTGTTTTGCCAAAAGTAGGGCAGCCTGGTACCTGGGGATAAGGGGTCCACCTGTTCCTCCTGGACAAGAATATTGGATCGTCCCCCTCCTGTAGTCGCTAATGTATATGCACTACTTGTTGTTGTTACTACCTGTGTCTGTTCTGCCATCATGAAGCTGCAGTGTAGCACTGCCACTGTTAAAGAGTTTCATGGGAAGAGCTGCACAAAAGAAGCCAGCTGCAGTGCACAACGAGATTTATTTGTCCTACAAAACCCTGGAACCATGCTTGGAGACCAGCTACTTCATCCATATCTATTAACTGTTGCATAAAAATAGACGTCTTTCACTTACAGAGCACTTCTGTAACAGCGGCTACAATAAACGTACTTCTCAATTATTACATTCACCTGTTCTGATGCTTGTTTTCCAGTTTTCTTTCTCCTTAGCCGTTTTAAATGCAATTAAAAGCTGGTTACAGAAACTCACTAATATTTTGGGAGCCCCAAACCATACACAGGACTTTACCTATATGAATGAAGAGGAGGAAACCATGATGTTCCTCTTCTCTCCCATGGCCAAATCTGGTTACTGTGCTGGTGTAATTCCCTATTGACTTGTATGCGAGGTTCTGCAGCCACTGTTTCATTTTTATTATTTCTTTTGGTTATCACTTCTTTTGGCCAACAAGATAAGCCATAGGCTGAAATCTAAGCACTACACTTTATTAGACCTATAGTTTTCTGGGCTTCAGGACTAAAAAAATAAATAAAACTTGCATTTCTAATAGCGCCTTTCAAAGTATTTTCAAATTTCAGCATGAATGAATTCCTCCTGGAAATGTTTGTGGAAAGCAAACGGTTCTTGCCTCTGGCAATCTTCCTAAGTGCTCAGTTGTACCTTTGTAGGTCCTAAAATGGAGAAGGTACAAATCCTAGTGAAAGGGGTCCTTAGAGAGGCAACAATTCTCGCAGATCTTTCCAAAGCAGCATGCCTATTAGTACACCAATTCAGGGACGCAGCATGCTTAGCCAAGCCTGCTAACCAGCATGAACAGAGAAGCATGGCCCCAACACCTCATCTTCTCTTTTTGCAATTCATAGTAGGAGGAATTGTAATTAATATAATTATGCCCAATAGATGCAGAGGATTTTAGGGAACAGAGGTAAGAAGTTCATGTTCCTTTACCCAGGAACATGGCAGCCAAATACAGCCTTACCTTAACTGCATAAAAAGAGTGAGTCCGTGAATGAAAATGTGTGTGGTTTAACTGAGGGTGCTTCTGTTGTTGCCCAGTTGAGAAGAGTAGCTAACACTGCTCACAGAAGCAGAGGTTTCTGTTCTAGCCAAACCACCAGATGTATAATGATCTGATTACTTTGAATAGGCTCAGCAAAAATGGGGAACCAGAACCGTCACTGTATCATGTCATGTCAGATGTTCTCTAGAACAGTGGGTATGATGATGGAATGGGAAACATGGAAGGGAAGTTTCACGTATTAGATTACCTCTGATTCCATTGAGTGTAATGGCAACACCCCAAATGAAACTGACAGGTGTTTTACCATTGATCATAATAATCAGGTACAGACATTAAACTTTATTGGTATAAGTGATCAGAAACCATCAACACCTGTAACAAACAGAAGTTTGGTGCACACAGACTGGTTTAAAAATGGTGGAGCCCAGTTTAAGAGTTGCCACCACCCCCAACCCCCATACCCTCCCACAGATGTCTGTTCTGTTCACTACTGATCTAAACCATGCTGCTTACAGAAAACCACATAAATTAGCTTGATTCCACCTGGGGCTTTTTGAATGTCTGAGGTGCATAGCCTGAACAGAATGCTAGCCTAAAGCAGCTATCCTGCTTTGGGACTCTGAGTTAGCTAACCCTCAGTTACCAAGTATGAAGACATTTCACATGGAGAAATGCAGCATCTGAAGTAGAGGCATTTCCCTGTGCCATAAAGTATATTGTGTTCCTGATCAATCATCGGTCTCCACCTGATTTTATGTCTTCAAAATTGTGTGAGTACATGTTACTACTCATTCTGACTTTTCATGTAGGCTTTTCATTTTTCCCTCCTCCTCAGATCGAATTGCACAGAATATCATTAAGTCCCATTTGGAGACATGTCAATATACAGTGGAAGAACTACACCAGCTAGCGTGGCAGACCCACACATACGAAGAAATTAAAGTTTATCAGAGCAAGGTACAATCCCATTAACATTTCTTCTCTTGCTTCAGTTTTATAGAGATTTAGTGCAGCATGTCTGGTAAGGACTTGCTTATCAATGCCCACTAAGGGTCCACACCCTTGGAGTGGGAAAGAGCAATTTGATATTAGAGGAATTTGGCAACTAAAACCTTAGTGTGATCAGGGCCATTGCAAGGTCATAAAATGAGTTTTCCCTAACTAATCTGTGGATTAATCATTTCTCCAAAAGAGAAGGCTTGAATCCTATATGTTGGAAATTTTTTTAGAGAAGATAGTTTTGTTTTAATGTGTTATTTGCATATAAAATGTGTTCAGAAAATGTCTTTCACTAGCAGCCCTTCAAATACAACTTAGTCCATAAAAATCATTTTCATCCATAGTAATGATTCTGCAGTCAGAATATAGCTGACAATTTAGTTTATCATGTACAAGACAAAACAGAGGCCAGTTTGATTTGTTGACATCTGTGGCTCTGCAATTCCAACAGAAATGAACTTACTGTAGCCAGTAAAATAAGCCCAAGTGAATGAAAGGCACAGCAGAAAAACTCACAGAAGAGTAATATGGGTGCTGACAGATGTGACAGTGGTGCTGACAGATATGACAGTTGGTTACACAATTGGCCACTGAAAAGGATTCTACATCCATGCACTGACAGAAGTGCATGGCTGCAGAACACTTTAAAAATGCCCAATTGTGCAGGAGCACCTTCATTAACATCTGCCAGTGCGGCCAGGAGCTCTGCTTCCATACTGGTGTCAGAATGGGAGGGTGGGGAGTGAGTGGAGGGAGCTCATTCTGGGGGTTGCCCAGTTGGTGCTGGAGAGTGGGGCAGGTGGACTGGAGTCCCCCACCTCCAGCATCAGCTAGGCAACCCCTAGAATGAGCCCCCTCCTCCCCCCGCCCCCATTCCAGCAACAGTACTAGAGCTTGGAGGGAGGAAAGGTGGGGCTAGGGGAGAGTGGGCAGCTGCTCTAAACTGCAGTTCATCTCCCAGTCCCCAGGACCCATCAGTGAACATTTGTCGGGTCCTAGGGATAGCTGTAACTCATGGCACTTCCTATAAAGTGCCATGAGTTACAACGGGGAGCTTCACGTCTGTCAGTCCCCTATGTTTTCCCAGAGATTCCGCTAACTGTGTGCAGTTATTGTTCAACTGTAATCACACTTTAATTATTTTGAGAAGTTTATTAAACTTACCAGAATTTTTTGGCAGGTAACTCAGTAGCATTATTTCTCTGCTGCTAGAAATATATTTGCATATTTAAATTCCTTAATCATCACTAGCTTTATACACCCACGCACACTCACACACATATGTGTGTATGTATATTCCACAAAAACACCTCCACTAAAAGAACATTTTAGCATTTCAAAATCAGACTCTCAGAAGTCAGGTAACACCAGAGATAAGACCAGATGCATTACAGAAACAGTTTTATAATGGGAAGTGTCATTCAACCTTAATAATAGGAGCTACTTCCAGCTTTGCCTATAAGAAAATATAAACAGCCCATTTTGTGTGAGACAACATTATGTTCTTTAGCCTCTGAAGAGTCTACTTGCTCATTGCTTTCCTTTTTAATGCATATTTTCCCTGGAAGACAAGAGAAGCACTGTGGCAGCAGTGTGCCATTCAGATCACTCATGCTATTCAGTATGTGGTGGAGTTTGCAAAGCGGATAACAGGCTTCATGGAGCTCTGTCAAAATGATCAAATTCTACTCCTTAAGTCAGGTAAGTGGAGGTCAGTGGCTGGAGATTTAGTTTAAAACATGCCAAATTAGAAATGTGTGTCAATGCTTGTTTTGAACATCATTTTCCCTTTAAATAAACTTCACTTCTCTCTATCCCATCCAGCCCTCCTCAACTGTTTAATGCCTACATGACTTTTTGTGCCGGTATGATATTCTCATCCCCTGTTCTCCAAAGCCAATTGTGATTAGTGTTTGTAGAAAAATGTACTACTAATTGCAGAAGCTGCAATGCCTAACTTGAGGTGCAGTACAAGGAATTAGTCAATTGTGTTGGCTAAATCTGCATGCTACTGCCCCTTAAAAATCACCACTTGTCTTTAGTGGATTTAGCCTGGAGCAAATCCAGGCTAAATAGGCCCTGCTTCTGTGGTCATTTCTAATCATTTTAATGAGGCTATAGCAGTACCCTCCAGCCAGTGCTCAGAAGGAGGAATCCCTGCTGGCACCGGTTACTATTGGAATGAGAGGCTGGATGGTGACAGAACGTAATGACACAGTTGTTCTGTGTATGTGTGTGCGCACATGTGCATGGGGGCAGGGGAGTTTTTCCATCATGGCAACCAGTGATTGTCTCTCCCTCTTTTAGAATAATCATTCGCTGATGCACTCTGACGACATTTAGTTGTTAGGGATTCTGATTAAATTTACCGTGACCCTGCAATAATTTAATTTAATTCAATGGGACAAGGCAGTACTGGTAATTAAGTGCATTACCCTGTCATGCCAGCATTCTGCTTCCTGGGCTTGTCAGAGTTTTCTTTGAGCTAGAGGTGCACTTCATGTGGTCCAAGAAAAAATTGTATGGCCATTCTGGAAAGCTATGTTCTTTCATCCTCCTTACTAGGAAGGATGTGACTTCTTTATCAAACTAAGATCATGGAGCCAGGGTGAAGTAGAGAAAACCAACAGGATCCATGTCCCCACTTTTTTTCCCTGTGGGAAATAGTAGGAAAGTGTGAGAAATAGGGGAAATCTCTATTTTTCACCCTTTGTTAACTTTTTCAGTTACATGAGGGAAATGCCAGGGGGTGCACGTTTCATTTTTAAAAAGTAGAATTTTCAGTTTTATATTAACTTACTGTCAGAAGAGTTTTCAAATAGCAAAAGATGTGAAATTGTAAATAAATGTGGGGGATTTGTAAATTTGCAATTTGTCCATAATTTTTATGGAAAATCCCCTAACATTTCTGTTTTTGAAAACAAAATCATAGTTTCAATTTTAACCATTTGAATCTGACACTTCCAAAGGTTAGAAGCATTGAAAAGTGGTTGGAGAATATTGAATGGAAGTGTAGTTTCCAGTGGAAAAAACTATACATCAAAAGATGTTTGACCAGTGTTAAAGTTGCAATTATTGTCACCCTGGCAACCTGCATTGTTTCAATCAAGAGTAGAAGCCTACATTATCAGGATGTGGGGTTGACTGTGAATTGTTATATTCTCTGGTCAAGCTAGAGAGATTGGGTGGTTAGCTTTCTCCAAAAGCCAGAGGAAATACATTAGTTGTGCCTGAAATCATTTTTAATTCTTGTTTACCAGGAGATTTTTTTTTTAGATATAGCAACTTTTACTTCAAAAAATGCCTTGAGATGCCTAAGTATCTTTCTGTGAAGTATTTTTTGTGCGAATGCTTTGTGTGAATCATGTTCTTTCTGATGTCCAACAGGCTGCTTGGAAGTGGTTTTGGTGAGAATGTGCCGTGCCTTCAACCCACTCAACAACACCGTTCTGTTTGAAGGAAAGTATGGAGGAATGCAAATGTTCAAAGCCTTGGGTAGGTTTGCTTTTTTATTTCCATATAGTCTAACAAATGCTAGAGTGAGCTATAGATTTGCCTTTCTACATGTAACAATACCCCAACAACACTCTTTAGTAAATTTGAGCATGACCAATGACCACTCAGCATCAGCACTTGAGCTAAAGTAACTCCATTAGCTGCTAGTGGTGATACAATGTTTTTATTCCAGTGGAAAGAGCACTGTGGAAAAGCAAGATGCTTCCCACAATGCCATATAGTGATTGAATAAAATATGAATAAAGACTCTGAAATTTAGTTCTTAGAGATTTTTATCCCAAACTCAATTTGTGCTTGATGTTGTGATGTACGAAAGTGTTCACTTAACCAAAGCACTTTCTCTCCCCCACATGTACCCACACTTTTACTTGGCATCATAGCAAACAGATTTGCAAACTAGCTTAAGAGCTGATACATTTCTAGTATTGACTTTGTCCTCTGTGGTCTATAGGTTCTGATGATCTGGTGAATGAAGCATTTGACTTTGCAAAGAATTTATGTTCCTTACAGCTGACTGAAGAGGAGATTGCCTTGTTTTCATCTGCTGTTCTGATATCACCAGGTAATTTGTTTTCTCCAAATACTTTAATGAATCTTCTTTTTTACTGCCTCCTTGTTCACATTTTTTGCCTATATAAACAGCTGTGGTTCCTACCTAAACTGGCACACTAAGTAATTGAAGAATGTCTTGATCATTCTCATTTACCCTAAAGCTTTCTTCAGTACTTACACTGACAGTAGTTAGACCTACTGGAAATAGACTTGAATTAAAATATGGCTACAGCAGCCCAAAGAGCCACAGCTAGGCAGATTGTATGGCCTACCAGGTATGCAGAACTATTCTAGCCAGCTGTTCAGTACTTAAACTAAAAAATAAGTGGCTGGGTGTGAGCCAAGAATTGTCTCATCAGCACTCACAACATTGCCATAAGATGAAAGTGTAAATGCAGGAACATGAAAAAGAGATTAAGGGCCAGAATGTATATCCTGTAATAGGCAAAGGAAGTATGGAGTATGGTGGAGAACAATGTTCCCTCAGGTGGAGCTTGAGGAAAGACTGTTCCTAATGGATACATGTTCTCCGTAGGATTTCCAAGCAGTACAAGGGCTCAGCTTTCCTCTAACCACTTTAAGATAGAAGGAACCTAAGGAATGAGCTGTGCCTTTTAGAGAGTGTAGGAACTGCAGTTGTAACTAGCTCTTTCTGGAGGATGGGAGCAGGATGGCCAAGGGACTGCTTTGGGCTACCCACCTGCATCCAGGACACAATACGAGATGCTCATTTGATGAGAATTTGCTCATTGGTACACAAAACGACACATAACATCTCCCCAAGCATGTGTGTTTAAATAAACACTGCCTGCATGAATGTTCATGGCAAAGCAGATTAAAGGTTTTAAACATGGGGGGTTGGATCAGAGCACAAGCTGGATTTTTAAGACATGTTCACACATTAGTGGAGGAATTATAAAAAGTGCCTAAGGGAGTTATACACCTAATTCTCAATAAACGTTAATGGATATTGGGTGTCTAACTTCTTCATGGGTGTAGTTCTTGGTAGCTGTGTTGGTCTGAGATAAAAAGACATACAAAAAACTAGAACTCTTGGTTCCAAAGTGATACCTTTTATTAGACCAACTGGAACTTTATTATTCCAGTTGGTCTAATAAAAGGTATCATTTTGGAATCAAGAGTTCTAATTTTTTGTATAACTTCTTCAGGCCTTTTTTAAAACCCTAGCAATAATCATTTTATTTTTCATCCTGTTCTGCCCCAGACATCTTCTAGGTCATTCTGCCCCTTTTCACATCTCTGGAGGGGATTACTTTTAGATGGAATTAGACTAGCACAGATGGTGTCAACATGCATGGTATCTTCATTAATAACAGCTGCTGCAATGATTCTGGCCTCTGTTATTAGTACAGGAAAGAACATTTGTGTTCTTTGATAGTTTGCATAATGCAGGAAGAGATGATCCAGTGAGTAGCTAATGCTGTTCAGGACCTTTGGCTTCTTAGATAGGTTTGTTTGCTGCAAGGCTGCTCTTCAAAGATGTTTGTCCCATGCTGGAAGGTTTCTCAGTGACAGGACATAACTCAGAGAAGTGAGATCAGCAGCAGACCTCTCCAGCTGAGCTTTGTTTTAGAGTACAAAGCCTACATAACCTGGAGAAAGAAGCTTCAGCGTAGAAAACCCTGGGAGGAAAAAGGCGTCACCTTGCATTGCCTTAAAAATGTTTATGGTGGCACAAAGTGAAAACAAATACATGTCCGTGCTCTTTGTGGCAGAACAATGTGGTCTCAACAAAAGATAGCAATTATTTATGCCACTTTATTTCAGCAGACATCTATTTGCTTTATGGCAGGACAGCATGGATGGCCCAGAGCTGTCTGCACTCTTCAACTGTCCCAGGGCTTGAGGGGCTTGGTTCTGCATGCCCCAGGAATTTCCAAACAGGATTGGGCCCCTCAAGCCTTGTGAGCATCTGTTTGGTTTTCCCTACTTCCAGAGCCACACCACCAGGATCTGTTGGGTTCATCTCTGGAAGAAGGGCAAGTCAGGGGTTCCTACTTCCTGAGATGCACCCCTGGCATTTCCAGAGATTGCCAGGGACATGTCTCTGGAAGCAGAGAACACAATGCCTGCTGTCCCACAATATCAGTGGACAGGGCAACAGGCCACATGTGTTTCACCCAATGAAGCGAGATTAGTTGTGCCAGGACAGCTGATACGCTTCATTTGGCAATGTCTGTCACTAGCCCCTATGATCTGAGATTTAACCTTTCTTTTTCTTTGTCTTCATCAAAGGTCATGTCTTAATCTAATGTCTTAAAACAATTGGCTAAAAATATAGGACCCAATCCAAGGGATATTGAAGCGAATGGGATTTTTTTCATTGCATTCAGTGGGCTTTTGGATCAAGCTAAGACAGAACATTCAGAGAAATCATAACCTTTCAGTTAAATCAGATTTCTGTCCAATATTGTGTCCCAAACAATTGAGGAAGGGACTGAAAATACAGGCTTAGGAAGTGAGATGTGATCACAAAACATACCAGCAACTCTGAGATTATTGTGCCTTCTTTTAGGCCTGATCCAGAGCCAACTGAAATATTGGAAAGACTCATATTGACTTCAGGAAGGACTTCAGTCCTTCAGAAAGGATTTTGATAGAGCCTTTTATAAGATGTGTTTAGCTGTAGGTAGGCAGTTCAAGGATATCAAAATATTGATTCCACCATATGGTCTTCTAAACACCATTTTAGTTTAGAAATTACCAAAAGCTTTTACTTGCTGCTAGTACTTGCTGTTGACTGCGAATCTCTTACTCTTTTCTGCTTTCTGTAAAATGTTTGTGGATGTATTTAGTGGCTAAGAAAGTGAATGATTCAGCACTGGCTTTGAGCCAACTGCACTGCAGGCAAGTGTTGTGAAAGCTTCCCCGTTAACTCTATTAATGCGTTTTAGTCCTGATACAGTACACCAGAGATGCACCTCTTTTGAACAGAAACTATTTCCACCATGCTTTATATAGTTGTGTCCTACAGATAAGCAGGAGCAGCTACCAAATTCTCATGTTCAGTATAATCAAATCTAAGTGAAGGTCTAGTTACTCTAATAAAACACAGTTCCACCTTTCATTTCTAGGGTGGCTTCTTCCTATAGACAGACAAAAAGGCACTTTTAAGCTATTATTTTCCTTCTTCCTGTATCAGGAAACATATGCAAAAAGCAAGTGATATGTGCCAAGCACTTCATTCTATAATTGGAAGCACAAGGGTGAGATAAAAGACTGATGGGTTGAAACAGCATATGTGCCTTGAAAAACAATTTATCTGTTATGAGTAGGGCTGTGCCAATATTCAATTTTTCAGTTTAGCTACTGAACTGAAAAATTAAAAAAAAACAAACAACCCACATAAGATTGAACTGAATTTAAAGTGTGTGGGTTTTTTTTCCTCCCGGATGAAATGGAAAACTCGAAAATCTCATTCCATTCATCACGAAATGATTCATTTGACCTGATGCAACATGTTTTATTTTGTTCACATATTTAAAACAAAAATACCCTAAAAGAATTAAGATCAAGATCCATAAGACTCCTGGATAAGCATTTGCTCTCTATTTTCTAACCTATAGCTCAGGGGTTAGTATGCCCACAATGTATGTATGAAAGCCAGGTCTAATTCCCTCTTCTGATTGGTTTTGCATCCACATTGCCCTCCCCTCTTTGCATCCCCAAGAGACTGGGTTAGTATTCTCACAATGATGCACTCAGTCTTTCCTGTTAATAGTCCTTCGTGTTGTATAAATAACTGAACTCTCACTGACACTGGATCTGGGCCTCCAGTCTCTGAGTGCCCTAACTACCAAGCTAGAGAGGCATTCTCATGCTCTCTGTCTCAGTGACTCAAAGTGAAACATGATGCAACTTATCACAATGGAGGCCATCTTCAAATATTCTAGTGCTTAAGGCTAGGTGCAGACATTATACTTAATCTGCTTTAAGCATGCAAGAAGTGCTATACAGCCATAACAGAACAGATATTCACGGCACATAAAGCACTTAAAAATGGCAAATCCCATGGGTGTCTGGTGCCTCTCGAGTCAGGGGGCCTCATGTCCTCCCTGACACCAGTCAGCAACCAGGGAGGGGGTCCCTCGGCAGCTGATCCTGCTGGCTGGGGCAGTCCCCAGCAGCCGATCACATGGCCAATTTCACTCACCACAAAAGTAGACACACCGCTTCCAGAACTCCTGTGGCCACTTCCAGAAGCGGCACAGTCACTTTTGCTGGTGGCCCCACTCCTTGGCTGGTGCTTGCAGGGGAGGCACTGGTGCTCCTGCACTGGTGCTCCACTGGCTAAACAGGGAGCGCAGCCGGTCTGGGGATGCACTGGCACTCTTTGGGGGTGCATGTGCACCCCTGTGCACCCCCTACGCATCGCCCCTGGTGGATCCCACTCTAAGTTAACCCTGGGTAGATGTATACTAGCCTAAAGTGCTTTCTGTTAGAGCGCTTTATTGAATGTCTGTGCCAGATCCCATCGAGCATGACCACCACCATCCCAGGAGGCATTGTACGGTGCTGCTTTAGCCTCAAGCAGCACAGTGCTGCTGTAGCTTCATTTGCTGTGCCCGAGTGCTGGGCTGGCCCTACCTCCTCAGCTGTCACTTACCCAAGTCAGTGACAGCTGCTGATCCCAGCCCCATGTGCAGCCTGGCCATGGAGAGGAAGTGGGGGTTCTGTCCCTGAAGCCACTCTGGACCCACAACATGCTGCAATCTGGCTGGGGGGTGCTGTTGGGGAAGGACTCTGGGGTCTCTCTCATGGCAACAGCTAGCAGAGCAGCTCCTCTCCCCAGCCCAGCCCCTGCACCAGCTGGCGAACATGCTGGAACTGCAGCTGGGGAGGGGAGGGGGAAGGGAACCCCATGCTGTGTGGACCCAGCCCAGCTTCTCCCCAACCCACAAGCCAGCAAGCTGTGTGTAGGCCCTCACTGTGGGGGGGCTCCCTTTTCTGCCCCCCACCCCAGCCACAGCAGTGCAGTGAAAAGCTGGA